CGGTCGGCTGCCTCCGAGATCCCTCGGGAGCCGCCAGTGTGAAGTCAGCCAGGGCACATTGGTGGGCCGAGCTCGGCGATCGTTTAGAAGGTCTAACAGTGTTTAAGATTCCCGCCCACACGTCGATGAAGGACGTGAGAGAGGGCAAGATCACGGACCTTCAAAGGTTCGGAAATTCAGAAGCAGACCGGCTCGCGAAACAGGGAGCTGAGCAGTATCGCATAAGTGCCCAAGACAGGCTTCGTGTGTCAGGCTGCTCCGAATTCGCTCGCCGTCTCGGCATCTTCTGTGCGTCGCAGCAGTTCGATTGCAGGGATCTTGCTAAGCAAGATCATGTAGGCCTCGAGTGGCTCAACTATGTTATGCTAGATGCGATCCCGGGCTTCCCCATCCCTTCCTCCTCGGGGGTGGGGTCTGAGCCTGCTGCTGCCGATGCTGCTCCCCCTCCGTCGTCTTGTGGCCCTGTTGAGGCCCCGATCGGCGCCTCACCAGGAGCCTGGAGGCAGATGGGTCACCTTCTGGAGCAGGCCGACATCTATGAAGCCGATCGCGAGACCTTTCATGATAGTTTGCTCATGTGCGTAAGGTGCGGCAGCATGGCGCACACCAGCTCGAAACGTGGCAATCTTCGTTCGTCGTGCCGCCCGGTCGCTGGCGGAGGTCGTGGCTTCTATCTTAATAAGTTTCGAGCTGGTCAGTATCCTGGCCATAGAAATCCAAAGGGGGTTGTTTTGGCACATGTGGGAGCCCCGGCCCCCGAGGTCAGGGCCGAGTGGCTTCCCTTCTTCTCTGCCTGGGCCCAGGGCCTTCCGGGGCCCGCGAAAATCGCGGAGCTCACCAAGTCGGCCGCGCGCGAGGGGCGGCTAGCCCCGCCCGCGGCCGACTGGCAGCGCGTCCTGGCGTTGTACGGCCTATCGGACGCGGCTGCACAGGCCCTGGGGAGGCAGGCTGAGGAGCGGAAGGCCCAGGGTGGGGGCGGAGGAGGAGGATGTTCTCTGCCTCCTGGCCTGGCTCCAACGTTTTGTCTGTGCATGTGAATTGGGTCGAACCCTTCTCGGATGCGTGCGCTCCTCCACAGCCGCCGCTCCCGCCGCCTCCTCCTGCTCCTCCTCCTGTTCCTCCTCCTCCTCCTTTTCCTCCTCCTCCTCCGCCTCCTCCTCCTCCTCATCATCATCATCATCATCAGCAGCATCATCATCATCACCACCACCATCATCATCATCATCATCATCATCATCATCATCATCATCAGTATCAGTATCAGCAACATCATCATCGTCATCATCACCATCATCAGCATCAGCATCAGCATCAGCATCATCATCAGCATCGTCATCATCCTCATCAGCATCATCAGCAGCATCATCACCATCACCATCACCATCACCATCATCATCATCATCATCACCATCAGCATCAGCATCAGCATCAGCATCATCATCATCATCATCACCACCACCACCACCATCATCATCATCATCATCATCATCATCATCATCATCATCATCATCCCCCTCCCCGTGCTCCTCCTCCTCTTCCTACTCCTGCTCCTCCTCCCCCTCCTCCTCCTCCTCCTCCTCCTCCTCCTCCTCTTCCTCCCCCTCCTCCTCATCATCCTCCTCATCACCAGCAGCAGCATCATCATCAGCAGCATCAGCATCAGCATCAGCATGAGCATCAGCAACATCATCAGCATCACCCTCTTCATCCTCATCCTGCTCCTCACCCTCCTCCTCCTTCAGTACTTCTCCTTATGAACAACTTCTCCATGCCGCATCCCGATGCAAGTTGTAAGGCGGGCCGGGCGTTTCGCTTGAGACTTCCTCACCACTAGTGGCCCTTAAGCTTAAAACTTGGCAACAGTCTTACAAGTGGAGAGCGGGTGGTTTTCAAAATGTGGCTCTCGCCTTAGCGCCGCGCGCTTTCGTTTTAGTTCACGGGTTGATGGCGACCTGTTTTCAAAAGTGTGGCTCTTCTTCAGCGCCGCGCACCTTCGTTTTAAACACTTGCAGGAGCTTCACGGATTGAAGACGGCTCCTTTTCAAAATGTGGCTCTCGCATTAGCGCAGCGTGCATTCATTTTAGAAATTCGAACGAGCTTAACGCATTGAGAGCGACCCGTTCTCAAAATCAAGAGCTTCACGGACTGAGGGCCACCCGTTTTCAAAATGTGGCTCTCGCCCTAGCGCCGCGCACATTCGTTAAACACTTGGAAGAGTTTCACGGATTGAAGGCGGCGATTCCTTGTCAACATGTGGCTCTCGCATTAGCGCCGCGCACATTCGTTCCAAATATTTGTAAGAGTTTCACGGGTTCCCATGGTCAACGTGCCAGAAGTGGTGTGCTGGAAGGATTCAGGACTATGAGGGCGCAACAGTTACGTTGATTCGCAATGTTGAATTGCAGGAATGGCCTTGTGGCACGGTTCAGGATCGTCAAGGCGCAACAGTCAGGTTGATATGTGGCATTGGAATCCCAAGAACCATGTTTTGGCATGCTTCCGTGTCTTCAAACGGTTGTCTTCCAACCAGGCAACTCCCTCAGTGGATATGAACCCGTGTAGGGGCCTATGAAGAGGGAGCTTCGGGGGAGGGTGTATTCCAACATCGTTGGTGACTCTTGAATTTATTTACACGGGTCATGATGCTCCTCCTCATCTTGCCACTGCTCCTGCTCATGCTCCTGCTCCTGATCACCCTCTTCCTCCTCCTCCTCCTCCTCCTCCTCCTCCTCCTCCTCCCCCATTTCTTCCCCGTCCCCGCCGTGCTCCTCCGCCTCCTCCTCCCCCCTCCTCCTCCTCCTGCTCCTCCTCCTCCTCCTCATGCTCCTGCTCCTCCTCCTCCTCCTCCTCCTCCTCCTCCTGCTCCTGCTCCTCCTCCTCCTCCTCATCCTTCCTCTTCTGATTAGTACCATCATCCGTCTTATCATTCGTCTTAGTAGTATGGTCATGCTTCTTTGTAATTTTATAAGTATTATCATGTTTATGAGTAGTAGTACTGCTCTTCTTAACAGTATCAGTAGTATTAGTACTAGTGGTATTCTGGTTAATTGTATTAGTAGCAGTATCAGTAGTAGCATTCGTAAGATTAGTATTCATAGTACGATTCTTATTATTATTCGTCTTACTATTAACATTCGGAATAGCGTTATTCTTACTCGTGTTATTATACTTAGTAGTAGTAGCAGTCTATGTCTTATTATTATGAGTAGTATTCGTCTTATTCGCATTAGTCGTATTGCTCTTCTTTTTCCTATAAGTGGTATTCATATTCTTGTTATGATTAGTATTACTACTACTATTCTTCGTGTTATCAGTATTACTAGTGTTATTATTATTCCTAGTAGTCGTCTCCGTCTGCGTCTTCGTATTCTTAGTAGTACTAGTAGTGTTAGTATTCGCGGTCTTAGTATTATTCTTGGTGGTAGTAGTATTAATGTTCATATTATTCTTAATAGTATGCGTACCGGTATTACTCGTACCAGTAGTATGTTATTAATAGTTCCTGATCATGTTCCTCTTCCTCCTCCCCCTCCTCATCCTCCTCCTCGTCCTCCTCCTCCTTTTCCTCCTCCGCCTCCTCCTCCTCCGCCTTCTCCTCCTGCTCCAGCTCCTCCTCCTCCTCCTCCTCCTCCTCCTCCTCCTCCTCCCCTCCTCCTCCTCCTCCCCCTCCTCATCCTCCTCCTCCTCCGCCTCCTCCCTCCTCCTCCGCCTCATCCTCCTCTCCTCCTCCTCCTCCTCCTCCTCCTCCTCCTCCTCTTTCCTCCTCCTCCCTCCTCCTCCGCCTCCTCCTCCTCCTCTCCTCCTCCTCCTCCTCCTCCTCCTCATCCTCCCCCTCCCCTCCTCCTCCTCCTCCTCTTCCTCCTCCTCCTCCTCATCCTCCTCCTCATCATCCTCCTCTTCCTCCTCCTCCTCTCCTCTCCTCTCATCTCCTCTCCTCTCCCTCTCCCCTCCCCTCCCCTCCCCTCCTCTCCTCTCCTCTCCTCTCTCTCCTCCCTCCTCCCTCCTCCTCCTCCCTCCCTCCTCCTCCTCCTCCTCCCTCTCTCCTCCTCCCCTCCTCCTCCTCCTCCTCCTCTCTCCTCCTCCTCCTCCTCCTCCTCCTCCTTCTCCTCCTCCTCCTCCCCTCCTCCTCCTCCTCCTCCTCCTCCTCCTCGCCGTCCTCCTTACTCCTCCTCCTCTCCTCCTCCTCCTCCTCACTCCTCCTCCTCCTCCCTCCTCCTCCTCCTCCTCCTCCTCCTCTCCTCCTCCCCCTCCTCCTCCTCTCCTCCTCCTCCTCCTCCTCCTCCTCCTCCTCCTCCTCCTCCTCCTCCTCCTCCTCCGGCTCCGCCTTCGCCTCCTGCTCCTCCGCTCCTCCTCCTCCTCTCCTCCTCCTCCTCCTCCTCATCATCATCTCATCCTCCTCATCCTCATCCTCATCCTCATCATCAGCATCAGCATCATCATCATCATCATCATCATCATCATCATCATCATCATCATCATCATCATCATCATCATCATCATCATCATCATCATCATCATCATCAGCATCATCATCATCGCCCTCCTCCTCCTCCTCCTCCTCCTCCTCCTCCTCCGCCTCCGCCTCCGCCTCCTCCTCCTCCTCCTCCTCCTCCTCCTCCTCCTCCTCCTCCTCCTCCTCCTTTCCGCTTGTCCAAGCTATAGAAGTCGGTTACACTAAAGCTGAAGTCGACAGTACCCGACCGACCGACCGACCGACCGACGAGCGAGGAAGAGGGAGGACAGAGGGAGGATAAGGTGTATTCACATCACACTACCCGACCACACACACACACAAACACACACACACACACACACACACATACGCACGCACGCACGCACGCGCGCTGACGCCGACGCCGACGCCGACGCCGACGCCGCCGCCGCCGCCGCCGCCGACGACGACGACGACGACGACGCCGACGCCGACGCCGACGCCGACGCCGACGACGACGACGACGACAGCCGAGAGGTGAAGCGAGAGAGCGCGGCAGGGCGGCGCCCAATGACCAGCGCGACCACGCCGTCCTGGGAGGCGCCGACGCCCGGCGGCCGGGCCCTCTCCCGACGGGGGTCCAACGCTCGAAGGCCGAGGATCGAAGGAGGACGACGGCGACGACGACGACGACGACGACGACGACGACGACGACGACGACGACGGCGACGACGACGACGACGACGACGACGGCGGCGACGACGACGACGACGACGACGGCGACGGCGACGACGGCGACGGCGGCGACGACGACGACGGCGACGACGACGACGGCGACGGCGGCGACGACGAGGACGGCGACGACGGCCGAGAAGCGCGACCAAGACGGCCTGGGAGCGCTGGCGCCCGCTGGGCCACTCCCTCGCCCGACCAGGGGGTCGACGCTCGAAGATCAAAGATCGGGGCTCGAGGGCCGATCCGGGATGGAGGATCGATGGTCGAGGCTCGAGGCTGGGCGGACACAAACTGGGACACAACGATTCGGAGGAGGGAGACGGGAGGGAGGAGGAGGAGGGCGAGGAAGGAGGAGAAGAGGAGGGGAATGCACGCTCGACGACCGTCCTGGGCCCTCCACGGCCACGCAACGGCCAGCCGGCCTGGCCGGACACAAACTGCGACCCGCGATTCGGAGCGAGGAGGAGGGGAGGGCACGGGCCTAAAATCGTGGATAGGCCGGTACGTCCAAAAATGGCATGCGGGCGTCTGCCAGCCCAGGCCGGGGAGGACAAATCCAGCCCCCAGCGAAAGGCGCGCGACCCCAATCAGAGCGGTGAAAGGCATATCGCGGCTGGAAACAGCGCATGAAGGAGGAGGAGGAGGAGGAGGAGGAGGAGGAGGAGGAGGAGGACAGGAGGACATGGAGGAAGGGGCCAGAACAGCCCAACGCATACTGCGCGCTCACCCGCCGTCGCTGGCGGCACCTGCCGCGACCTGCGGCTCCTGCAGCTGCGCCAACACCTCGGCGAACAACCTCGGGACGTCGAAGCGTGCGCCGGCCGCGTGCTGGAGGGCGGCGTGCGCCTTGTAGCCGACCGCGACCATGGTGGCCGTCCTGGCGACTTCCTCAGCAGGGACCCCGGGCTGCCACAGGAGCGCGCGGGTAGTGCGCTCTGCTGGGGTGCCGGGGTCCACCAGGCCCAGCTTGGATGCTCCGAAGCGCCACAGCTTCGGGCAGCAGACGTAGTGCCTGACGCCGTCGTCGCCCATCCTGCAGCCGAACGTGCACCGGCCGCCGCGGGCGCCGAAGCGGCGCCCAGCGCACCATCCATTCAGCCAGGTACGCAGCACGGCGGCCCTCACCCTGGGTGGCGTTGTTTTGGGGGGGAAGGCGCTGCATGACCAGCCGGCAGCGCTCTGCCCGACGGCCTGGCAGGGAGCCAGGGTCATGCCATTTGCGAACCTTGGCGCCCAGCTGGGCGAACCCCGTGCGCTGCCACTGCCGGCGTCGCAGGAACGCTGTCGCCGACGCTTGCAGCCGCCGGGCTGCCCGCCGCCAGGTCGCCAGGGTGACCGGTCGGGGACCGCGGCCCATCCCATGCTCCAGCGCCCGCGCCTGGGTGATGCCCTGCCTGGCAAGGTCCTCGAACGCGGCCTGCAATTTCTGCACTGAGCCCCTGGTGAACCAGGCCGGCCACCTCCACTCGATGTCCCACGAAGCCACGGTGCGATGGCGGGCGCGCTGCAGGCGGACTCGCAACTCGTCCAAGCGGATGCGCCGGCGGTGGTCTCCTCCCGCGAGGGCCACTCGAAACTAGGCCGCGGGCCCGGAAGTGGTGAGCGACTGCACCTGGCATGGCATCTTGAACTCGTCGCGCAGCTGCTGGGCGACGCCCGGTGGAAGCCATCTGTACGGGCCAGGGTGCAATTTCTGGATCGCCCACTGTTCTAGCGACGGCCAGTCGGGGGGCACTCCGTGGAGCTACGCAACGTACTGCAACTCCGAAATGGCAAACACGTTGTACGCCAGAGTCGTCAGATGCATGCCTGGCGCGAGACCCGCCCAGCTGCAAACTGCCTCCTAGTACTTCCGAACGGGGGCATCCCATCCGGTGTCTGCCGCTGCTGGGCCCACTTCGAAGCCAAAATATGTGCCAGAGTAGTCGACCCTCACTGCGCCCCAAGCCGGCACCGCCTGCCGCAAGGCGCTCGCGGCGACCCCGGGCTGCCATGTTCACAATGGCAGTAGGACAATCTTCGCCAAGTTCAAGAGCAGGCCGGACGCCTGGGCGAAGAGCTCGAAGAGGACGCGCAGCTGCGGCCACGCCCAGGGTCCGTCGAATCCGACCAAGGCGAGATCGTCAGCGAAAGTGCAGCGCTCGCGGCGGCCTGCCACGGTGTCCACCTGGCAATTGAACGGTTCCGTCACGAGCACGAAGAGGAGAGGGCTGAGAGGGCACCCCTGGCGGATTCCTGCGGAAATTGAGAAGCCCTCCCACCACAGGCCTGCCATCGCCAAACAGCAGCACTGCCCAGTGTAGAGCGCTCGGATAGCGGCGCGGACGCCCCGCGGTAGTCCCAGTTTCTCCAACACGCAGTGCAGGTAGTCGTGTTCAAGGCTGGGGAACGCCGCCCGCATGTCGAACAGGAGGGCGTGCGGGTGCTCACCGTCCACCGCCGCTTCCTGCATGGCTGCTTCGAGGTCTATGACGGTCGCCAGGATGGAGCGGCCGCAGAAGAAGCCCCGCTGGCTCTCGCTCACGAGCGCCTCAATCGCAGGCTCGATGGCGAACCTGATGGTGCTGGCCAGCAGGCGGTTTGAGGTGTCCACGAGCATCAGCGAGCGCGTGTCCGCCAGGCAGTAGAAAGCCCCAGCCGCGGGATCGTGTCCTGTTGGCTTTTTCGGGAGCAGCGCCAGAAGGCTGCCGTTGAAGTCACAGGCCCCGCAGCGGTTGTCACCCGACCCGTTCTCGCGCAGCATGACCGCCTCCGAGTCTTCGGCCATCATCGCCTGCACGGTGTTCGTGAAAACCTCGACACCGAGCTCGCCGATGCCCCGCCAGAAGCTGTAGGGGATACCATCTGGCCCTGGAGCAGTATCGCCGGCGGCCTTGAGCGTCCGGCGCACGTGCCTGAATAGTACCGTATCTCTTCATAGTACTAGAATATTGACTATTCGTCTTATGTTCAACTCTCACTGACACTAGTACTATTATGTTTCCTCCACTTCCTCCTCCTCCTTTTCCTTTTCCTCGTCCTCCTGATATTCCTCCTCCTCCTCCTCTTCCGCCTCCTCCTCCTCCTCCCGGACCATGTGGCTCAAGAGCGCTGCCGCCAAAGGCGGGCACACGCCGCTGCAGCAGCCTGCGACAACGGAGCGAGGCCTGTGGCCAGCATGCGAGACCCTGACGGCGAAGGACTAGAGCACAGACTGACGAGGAGGAGGAGAAGGAGGAGGAGCAGGAGGGGGAAGTGGAGGAGGAGGAGGAGGAGGAGGGTGAAGAGGAGAACGAGGAGGAGGAGGAGGAGGAGGAGGAGGAGGGAAGACGGAGGAGGGAGGGAGGGAACACACGGAAGGACGGGGAAGGAGAGGAGAAGGAAGGAAGGAAGGAGACAGGAGGACCGAGGAGGAAACAGGAGTGCAACGACTACGGCACAAATGCCGACGCCGATATCGGAGTCGAATGCCTCCCCCCCCCGCTGGGGCGCTGGCCAGCAACTTCGCGCCCGCCCGCGCTTCATCGCTCCTGGGGGGCCGGCGCCAGGGGGGAGGAGGGGAGGAACAACCCCGCCGCCTCTGACCCCGTCCCCCCCACTTTCCATACCCCCCCGTCCACCCTCATCACTCCCTCGTCCCTCCCCCGTCTCCCTCTCCTCCTTTTTTCCTCCCTCTCCCCCCCTTTCTCTCCCCTCCTCCCCTCCCCCTCCTCCCTCCTTCCCTTTCCCCCTCCCTCTTCCGTCTCCTCCCCATCCTCCTCCTCCTCCTCCTCCTCCTCCCTCCTCCTCCTCCTCCTCCTCCTCCTCCTCCTCCTCCTCCTCCTCCTCCTCCTCCTCCTCCTCCTCCTCCTCTCCTCCTCCTCCTCCTCCTCCTCCTCCTCCTCCTCCTCTCCTCCTCCTCCTCCTCCTCCTCCTCCTGATCCCTCCTCCCATTATCCCCTTCCCCCGTCCCTTTCCTCACTCCCTCTTTCCCTCCCGTTTCCGCCCTCCACACCCTTTTCCTTCATCCCTGCCTCCCCCTCCCCCTTCTCCCATCCTTTGTTGGCTTTTCAGACTTAAGCCAGCATTCCAACAGTATGTCGAATAGGAAAACGAATACGCGTGTATGTGGCAAACAATACTCTGCCCAACAGTCCTGCATGCGATGCTGCTATGTGAAACACAGCTTTAAAAAAACTCTCACTCGGCAAACGATGCCTGTACACCCTAAAATGTGTACTGTGATACCGGTTCGCGGACTACTTTATCACGAGCGAAACGTGGAGCGATCCCGGCCACATTCATCAACTCCATATTCCAGAAGATGTTGTCGTAGTTCTTTTCGTTTCCTACATGCTGTATATATTCGCCGGCCAATACAGCATATTCTGTATGGTCTGTTTTGATCACGCTTGGTTTGATACCATTTGACGGGTTGATTTGAACAGTCAGTTTTCACAGCCCAGTCGTACAGTTCAACGTTGGACTCCAACGTGGGTTTGTTACAATAGAAAGGGCCATGACGTTGAAACACATATTATGCCTATATGTGCATATGCGGTCTGGCAAATCGGGGCGGCACCAACGCGACGCCAAGGGTCGTCGTGGACTCGAGCCTTCGGCCTGGAAGCACGAGGCGCACGATTACCCATATATTGAAGTGTTGCAACCGGTCACTGTGTTCGGGGGGATGTACGGACACGCAGAACACTGTTCAGATAATCGTTAACTGGCGCCCGCCTCAAACTCATGCCTCATCCCCCGCCTCCTTCCAATATTCCTTCGCTTTGGCCCGCCCTCCTCATGCCCCTCCGAGTACCCCCAGTCCACATCATGCCCCTTATCCACATTGTGAACCGCCCCCCCCGTGCCAATTCATGTCGTTCCTCGTCGTCCTCCTCCGCCGGATGAATTCCCCCATCGTCCGCATGCCTGCCCTCCTCCCATCCTCTACGCCCTAGTGCAGATCATGCCCCCTCTTTCTGCCCCCCCCCGCCTCCCTCGTCCTCGTAATGCTGACACCGATGATGCAGCTCCTCCTGGGCCCAGTTCCCCCCCTCTCGTCCAGTCCCGTTCATCCCTGGCCACTTGGCCACCCCTCCTATCGAACCCCTTCCTTCCCACAGCCCACCATCCCCACCCACCCCCCGCGCCTGTGCACTCCCAGATCACGCCCCCCTCCCGGACCAGCCGGGAGACCCGAGGAAACTCCCGCGCCGCGACCACTCCAGCATGCGGCGCACAACAGGTGCACAGTTGGAGTCACGAGCTGCGTATTTCGACCGCGCGCGACGCCCCCCGTGGACCAGCCGAGAGTGAAACGTGAAAGTTCCCGCCCAATCAACACCAGCCGCGAAGGGCACACTCCAACTACACAGATGGGAACGAAATCTGTGTACACAGATCACACCACGATCTATGTAAACAGTGGGCCCACACACAAATACACAGCTAAAGACACAAATTGTGTACACAGATCACACCTTGATCTGTATATTTCGTAAATGTACAAGCTCGCCACCTCGAGGGCGCCCCGACGTCGCCTGCCCAGAACCGAAGTCGACACGCCCAGCTAGGGGGAGATGCAAACACACACTTCCCCGGCCCAGGGCGCCGAGGGAGCTGCAAATACACGCGTGCCTGGCCCAGGGCGGCCTCGGTGGAACGCGGCACGAAAGCGGCCCCCAACGGCCCGAAACTGCCCCAAAAGGCGCCGGAGGACCCCGCAGAAGGCCGCACAGCAATCCGAAAACACGAGAGGTGTCACATGTCATGGACCTCTTAAGAGTCACAGCTCCACGCGTCGCCAAACAGACCGCTGCACTGGCAAGGGGGCGGACCGTGCCGCAAGCACCTATAATTTACAGGTTTGCGATGCGACTGCTCGGCGGCCGTGCCGCCCGCGTTTGGAGCGCGCCCCGAACGCTCGCACTGGCAATCCCCTCTGTTTGGTTGCGCCGCTGTGCTCGGATATCGAAAAGGCGACATGCCGCCGACACGGGCACGCGGCACCAGGGACTTCATTTTTCGAACAAGGAGGATAGACGAGGTAGGACGACGCACGGCGCAGCAGGGAACCAAAAAGGAACGGGGAATAATGGGGGAGGTGGAAAGGGGCGCCCCCGCGCCCGAACCGCGGACGCTTTCGACGCCATCCAGGGGGCGGAAGAAAAGAGAGGGATCGGAGCAAGGGCGAGGACGACGACGGGATGCAAACTGTCCTGGGTCCGCATATAGCCACATGCTTGCGATTCGGGTGCGCGCTTTCCCCGAGGCACTCCGAGCTCGATCCATACTGAATTCACCAATTCCTCCAAACTGTGTAAACACTCTGCCCCCTGCAGTGGATTCCAAGTTCAATGACAGTTGGAGGAACGCTACAATCTTAGTCATGCCATCTGCCAACATACTTGTTGTAGGAACAAGTGACACTCTACGAAATGTTCCAGTCAAACGATCTTCTTCTAAAGACATCACTGCAACCCTCTGGGCATTGCCCGTCGCCAGTCCTCTGTCTCCGGCGATAAGCTCGAAGAGGTCCATATAATCTGTCACTGCATCAAAGGGGATCAACCAGATATTGTTCCGTTCCAGTTCTGATTGATGTCGCGGTCGAACGGGGGGCCCAGTGATCGCCATGCTGAATAATTCCGTCATGCGCGATGAAAAAGCTGTGCCACTAGAAGACCGCCAACACAAGCATTCGTGTCCGCATGTGGCGACGTGGCTCACTGTTGCTGCTTTCCTGGCCGCGAGACACAAGGTGCGTCTATGCCCGCCGAAATCCAGGGCTTCTGTCATCGGCCACCACTCTTTACTATCATAAGGCACTCGAAGTTCACTCATCCAACCCACAATCTTGCCCTCGAATGGATACCCAAACGTCTTGGAGGCATGCTCGGCGTCGGCGATGGATACCAACCGTACTGGCCACTGAAGCTTTCCGACGTGAAAGCCATTCGCCGCCTCAATGTGCAAGGCCCGCGCAAGGAGAGAATTGCACTGCTTCAAGTGGGTCATGAGGGGGCCGACCACGTTGCTCGGCAGAAGTACAACTCCCTGGCACAGGTCGGCTCGCGCCAAGCATACACACCGTAAGCTGCACAGCGAAGACCAGAACTCCTCATCCACTTCTTTATCAAGAAATAGACTGTCGCCGTTGAGCCGCTTCTGGTCGGTCACTTTCGCTGGAGTCAATTAACTTCATGAGGTAATGTGCTCGATGCATGAGGCGGCGGCCAGGTGGCGGCATCAAATGACGTGCGCCAACGTGAATGAAAGGAAGGAGGCACCTCCTGACTGTCCCAAATAAGCATTAAAAACGGGGTCGGCCCTGTCCAAGACTTTCTGCGAGGCTCAGGTTCGGATGTCATCGACGTGAGTAACGCATACCGCCTCGACGCCCCATCCACGCGCAATGTAAGACAAGTTCTCAGCATGGCATGCGCGCTGGGATGCTCAGCTCTTCTACCATGAAGCTCGCCAGCGCAAGCTGCCGCAAGAGCCCAACGAAACAGGCAGTGGCATGATCTTCAACGCGTATGCCACTGCCCCCGATGTTGCGGAAAGTACATCCACACAATGGAAAGCACTTTCAACCAGACCTTCCGGATATGCTGCGCTCCGCGTTCAAGTCCAGCCGCCCAGCGCACGACTTCCGACAGTTCACAACCTTGCAAGGAAGCGGTGCTGATATCCAGGCCCTCAGTCACAAGGTCACGTTGAGCTGCTAGGGATACTGCCAAACGATGAGAAAGTCGTGACGCTGCCGAACTGCGGCGGTCGATCCCACTCTCCTGACGGTCCAGAAAGCCTCGGTCACAGCACCTGCTCATCACTAATCCTCTAAAACGATCTGCCCACTTACGCACCCATGCACTGTCGATGGCGCTATCGGAAGCCGATGCTGGCGCAAGCCCGAAGATGCCAAGTGAAACAAAACTGCCACACTCCTTCCGATCTGCATCTTCAACTGCTGGCCAATGCTGAATAATCTCTCCCAGCGTGCGTACGTCGCTGCTGGGTGCGCCGACTCGCTCGCTATCCTTGGGGTCGCAATAGAAACGGCGCGGTGTCCTAAATGGGGCCAGGAACCACCAAGAAATATGCTTCCTTGCCAAAGCAAAGAACCCCCTTGACTTCGCCGGCGAGGCCCACCACGCATAAGAAATGGTGTGATGAACCTGGAAACGCGTAGATCATTGTAGTCAGCCGTTTCATCAAGCGAGCCTTCGAGGCATTCGATGGCACGATCCGGATCCTCAGCCGTAGGGCACTCAATCGCTCTATCTGGGTCCTCAGCTGGATCTTCTTCAGGTGAATACACCGGCGCGCGATCTCCATCCTCTGCCACAGGTGGAGGTGCTGACTGAGGAGAAGCTGAGGCCGATGACGAAGGTGCTCCTGCTGCTACTTGAGACGTTCTGCCATCGGAGGAAAAAATATCCGACACCGATGCCATTCGTGGATGCCTCTTGTCTCGAGGTGAAAAATCTGGAAGCGCCGCCTCACTCGCGCCCACATGTCGCCCTCGGTGGCGACGCTGGATACT